TCGGGAGCCGCCGCGGGGCCGGTCTCTCTCGGGAGCCGCCGCGGGGCCGATCTCTCTCGGGAGCCGCCGCGGGGCCGGTCTCTCTCGGGAGCCGCCGCGGGGCCGATCTCTCTCGGGGGCCGCCGCGGGGCCGATCTCTCTCGGGAGCCGCCGCGGGGCCGATCTCGGGAGCGGGGAGGTTCCGTGTTCAGCCTTCAATCCAGATTTTCAGTTGAGGCCATGGAATCCTCAGTGACAACCTTCTGCAAACACCAGCGCTGGTGACAGTGGGTTTTCTACTTAAGGTGACATTTAGGAATTAATATAAAGGAGTTTAAATAAACAGTGCGTTACTTGCATTCTTGCTTTGTATATTTGATATATCTCCCATTTTATGAACGCCGTTAGGACCCGAGAGCCAGCAGAGGCCACCGGGATCGACCACTGCCCATGAGGGAGAGACACGCCTGGGCTGGGGGAAGGTGTGATCTTGCACAGCGAGTGCCCAGAGGTGCTGCGGTCCCTGTTGAGAGACACGTGTATCGATACAAACGTTTCCTAACAGGTCAGTGGCACAAAGTGAGCGCTCACAGCCTTTGGCTGACTAGCTGATGGCTCAACTCGCTTGACATGGCTTTTTGGCCATGAAGGCTTGTGCACAGCCATCAAGGTGCTGGACCTTTCTCCTGTGCCCTGGTGGGCAGTGTCCTGGGCCCAGCAGGAGCAAACATGTGCACTACAGTACAGGTATCTTTTACCTCTCATCAATCTACCTCTCTGTCCTCTGCACAAATTGATTTGCTCTAAGGGAAGGAGCCATAAAATATTGGCCAGGGTTTCTGAGTTTCTCAGTTCCTGAGAGAATGTTATGTTGTTACTCTGTCTTTAGATGAAGACTGAAGACAGTAATCAAAAAGGCTATTTTTAACCATGCGTTGATTTATTTGTTTTTCTTGTACAGCTATTACACCTGGAGCCAGTGATGATGGCTTGATTAATTCTCAGTGATTTTTTATTTCTCCACCTTCCTCCACATGACTCTTCTGAGTGGTGTGAAGCTACATAGCAGCAGGTACAGTCTTTGGGCTCTCACTGGCCCAAGTGAAGGCAGCTTTGGGCTGGTTGGCGAGGTCAGGGGTCCTGGAGTCTTGTCCTGGAGTTGGCCAAGTGGGTGGTACACATGGAGATAAGTCAGCTGAGAGGGTTCTTTTTGTGCGTCCTATAGCCATGAGTAGATACAAGCATGGCTTAACTCACTTCAAGCCACTCACCCTGTGCAGGATGGGCAAAGAAGTGAAGGATAGACAGTGGCCACCACTGGCTGCAAAGCTCTCCCAAGAAAGTGGATCAGTTGGTAGTAAATATTATCCAGCTTCTGGTGGATAATGTGCTTCCATCATCACTATGCTGCTGTCAGGTTTGGTGTCAATGCAAAACTGTTATGTTGACTCTATAGTCCTACACTGAATAAAAAAATTGATGTGGAAATTTTTTAAAATATTTTTTCGTCTGTGAGCATTGGAAAAATGCTGAGGATTCTCCTTTTCTTTGGGCTTGTTACTTGCAATGGGGGAAGGTGAGATGGAGTTTCCCTGCCATATTCTGGGCTTGAATCTGCCAGATCTGGACCCAGCAATGCCTGTCTTGACTCTTGTGGCAGCACTTAGTGCTATGGAAATTCAAGGCTACACAGTTACTGAAGCTCTGTGGGAATAATTAAGGAACCAAGACTTTCAAAAGTGTCTGTGATTTTGAAATCTCAGATTTTAGGGATCTATCCTGAGAAAACCTAAGGAAACCTGCTGGCAAACCTGCACCAAAGCAACTACTTCTGCAAACCCAGTGCTGCCAGTGTGCCTGCCCCCTTCAGAAGCCCTTTCAAAATACTCTGCCTCCTAGGATTTTCTAAATATTCTCCATTTGTCCCCATCATAAATCACACCTTATTTCTTTCTCCTCTTTGTGACTCAGTAAAAGTCATCTCCCTTTCTTATTTTTCCTAGTTAAAGGTCAGCCTGAGCTGTGTATTACAGATGAAAGGTTGCAGCCCAAAGCCAGCCTAGGGGCCCAGTTTGTATTGTGGATCTCTCCTGAGGGCACCTCTGTTTGCAAGTGTGTGACTTGCAACTTCTGAGAAGCCTACAGAGATTGCTGTTGTTTAGGATAAGTTCTGTCATATTTATTATTCAGTTAGTAATTATTTTTTTCTTGTATTTTCTTCAGAGAACCCATTCACTTTCAGGCTGCAGTTTTGAGCCTACTCTGTGCCATGTGTCAGGAATGACTTTTTGTCCTCAATGCTGAGGAGACATTTCCCACCAATGCAGATTAAAGCATTGCTTCCCTCCAAGGATATAGAGGAGAAGAGGGCAGAAAGTGAACTAAATTATTTTTTCACATTTGAAGATAAAGTTGCTAGATTTTGTCCATCTACACATGTTCCTTACAATCTAATCTCAAGGTATCTTTTCTAATGTACTTGAGCAAACAGTAGATAGACGTTGTGGGAGGGAGTTCAAGGGCAACTGCAGTAAGCCCTAGGTGTAAATACAACTGAAGGAAAATAGAATAAGGACAGTGTTGTACTGAAGCCAGCCTTCAAAGTGATAGAACCTCTACAGCACCTTCTAAAAGGAAAAGATGTGTTCACCATCCTCATTTTTCTCTGTAGCTCTAGGTGCTAGGCTGCTAGGTGGTTGTTTACTTCCAGAGCAGTTGTCTCCTTCCCCCAGCCTGGATCCCACTGCCTATGGACAGTGTGGCTGCTGGTACTCTGAAACGCCTGGCTTCCCCCATGATTAATGCTTAGAGCTGTATTAGTCTGTGGCTCTGTGGATGAAATCTGCAGCATTGCCATGTGTATCTGTATTTTATTTTCCAGATAAGCTATGCAGATACACATGGTAGAAACTTGATATATACACCTTTGAGATGCACACCTATAAAGGGAATGCACCAAAGTCTTGTAACCTTGTATCAATTGTAAATAAGGAATGGTATCTCACGTATTTTTTATTCTTTTGAGGGGATTTTATCTATAGGTTGAGAATGTTAAGGAAGTTTATCTCACTGCAGGTGTACCTAGCACTTTTATTGTGATGGAGCATAGACGGTGCCATGATTTCTGAAGAGGCTGTTCTTTAAAGAGAGATACAAAACAGCAAGAGCATTCATATAATAGATCATCATTTAAAGTAACACATTCTGCCTGACATGTAGTGTTTTGCACATTTTGAATTGTCTCCTGCCAAAATATTCAGGCCTGCAACGGGAACCCCTGTTGGGAACACAGGACAGATGGATCTGAATCCAGTCATGAAACTCCCTGGGGCCAGCAGTGTGATGTTAATGATCACAACACAGTAAGATGTAAAACATACCTTTGTGCAGCTCAGTGTAAACAGCAACTCCAGTATTATGATGTAAATGAGAAACCAGCAAGAGATGATGTGTGAATGGAAACACAGCAAGGTGCTCTGAGGGAGCAGGAACACAGTGCAAGGGGGAATTCTGTACATTTCAAGTGGAGGTGAAATTAAACAGTGGAGTCACTTCATTGTAGAGATAAACTTTAAATACTCCATGGGCTGATGCAGAAGGGAGGGAACTGACAAAGCTGTATCTATCTCCACCCAAGGTTCTGGCTGGATTGGGTTACAATTAGGCTTGGGTGCCTGGGCATATTAGTCAAGAGCTGGAAGATGGTGCCTGGGTCCAAAGGGAAGATAAAAATCCTGAGTAAGCCTTATCTTGTGGTCCACCTTTCAAATCAGGGCTGGCTTTAAACTTAGGCAGTGTTGCTCAGGACTTTGTCTGATTTTCAGTTGTCTTCAAGGATGGTGATACCTCTCTTGGAAGTCTTGTTCTAGTGTTCGGGCAACTTCATGGTGAAAATATTTGCTGTATAGCATTACCTAAATCTGAAATAGCACCATGATTGGAGGGCATGAAAGAATAATAGGCAGAAATTAAAGGGACTTGAAGTGGTACCCGAAGGCTCAGAATGTGCAGCTGGGTCCTCAGCCTAATTTCAGAAATCCCTGGTGCCCCTCTGAAAGTTCCCTCGTGTGCAGGTGGGTAGTGGCAGCTTGCCTTTGAGACATTATCTGCATTGGCTCCTGGCAGAATGGAAGGTGCAGTCAGAGAGCCTGGTGTCACCAAGGTAACTTAAAAATGTGCTGGTCAGCAGGAGTGGTGCTGTGTCTGCTGCTGTTGTAACAGTGTAACAGTGATGCATCTTTTTTGTCCCAGAGTTCCCTGTCTTCTTCCTCTCATCTCGAGCAAAGGAGTGAAGGGCTTGCTGGGAAGCTGAGCTTGAAGCTAGAGGAGGTCATACTTAACTAATCTCCTGGAGTTCTTTGAAGATATTACTGCCAGGCTAGATAAGGGGAATTCAGCAGTGTGCTTAGAGTTTCAAAGAGCATTTCACAAAGTTCCACATCAGAGATCAATAGCTAAGGCAAAAGGTAAAGGAAGAGGAGGTAATAGAGGCTGTTGGATCAAAACCAGCTCAAGGGCAGGTATGAGACAATAAGCACAGATGAAAACTTTTCAAGCTGTCAGAAGGCTGTTCTTGGGACTGTTTCAGGATCTCTGTGATGTGTAATCCTGACAGCACAAAGGTACCCCACCATGCTCATGTCTCTAAGGCAGCCCAGGTTTGGCACCACCAGCAGCAAAGCGTCCTAGCAGGACCCCCTTCTGACTTCCCAGCCTGACCTGCCCAGAGTCTTTTCATGTCTCTGCTAGATGGGAACAGTTGTCAGCAAGGTCAGGGGTGATGTCTCTGGGGCTCTGATAAGGGGCTGCCAGCCCTGATGTACTGCCACGTGTCTCAGAGCAGTCTGTATTTGCTGGACCTTGTAAAGAGCCTCAGGAGCCCAGTGTGCATGTGCACTGCTGGTGTCTGAGAAGTTACTCCAGTTTAACAGTGGGCCAAGGGAAGAGATAATTTGGTGGAAGCTCTCCCCATGACTAGACACAGCCTAAGCAGATTCCCCAGGGCCAAAATCTCTTCAGTGACTCTGCTAACAAATGGTAAAATGGAGTTCAATATGGAGAAATGTAGAGTAACTAATCTTGAAGGGGGGAATCTGTCTGAGGAATATGCCTTAACAGAGCAAGCATTCAGCAGAGGGATGAAGAGAGGGATTTGATGTGTTAGGAGATTAGTTTCCTTTGGAAAAACCCTTGAAACTGTCTACCTAGACTGCATCTATGGCAAAAGGGCAAGCAAGAGACAAAGCTGTATTAATGGAGGGACAGGATAAAAAACCAAAAGAGGCAATATGTCTGTTGCTGGCAAAGGCATTGGATCCCACTTGGAATATTGTTCTGGTCACTGTACCAGTGTGTTGTAGCATAAGGCAACAAAGAGCAGCCCTGCAGAACTTGTGCACAAAGGAGAGAGTGCCGGGTTTTCCTCTGCAGGCTTCTTCCTACCCCATACATTCCTCATCTGAAGAGGAAGTCTGAGGAGCACAAAGGGTTGCCCTTTAACAGAGGCTTGGCGTTTTGAAGTCAATTATATTTTTCTACAATTGTATTATATATTTTATGCAATTATATGTTGTATATATTATATACCATATTATATTTCTCTCTGCCTTTCTCTTCCTCTCTTCCATCCATTTCTTCTTTTCAGTTTTTCTCTTTTCTTCTTTCTCTCCTCTCCCCAGCTAGGGGTTGATTCATTGTTCCCCAGTACATTGTTTCTCTTCCACCCCTGCCTGGGAAGAGAGGCTATTCAGTCAACTTGCTTCTGGGTCCTGAAGAAGCCACATCTCCAGTGAAGGGATTGTTACATATAGGCTGGGCAGCAGGATGAATAATACTTTTTTCCACATAGATTTGTATGAAAAGAAATCAAAGTTGTTGCTTTAGAAGAGGAAAAGCTCAGCAGTCAAACTGAAGGCAGGGCATGGAATATTACACAAACTGACCATTGAAACTCTCAGATGTGGCTTTCCTTCCACTCAGAGGAGTTCACAATGTGATGGCTGTTTCAAATCATAAAAATTCAGTACTAAAATCCTCCTTTTTTTCCCCTTGGTGTATATTCAGAGCAAGTTCAGCAAGTTGCTCTGAATTTATGCAGCTATTGAAGACAGTTGATTTCATTTGAGCTGTAGAAGAGGCAATCTTATTTTGCTTTCCCTTAGATTATGGTATGTCAATCAATGTCAAGGGTCAGTCCATACAACACAGCTGTACCAGGTATGAAATGCACTTGTCAAACTGTCAAAATACTCATTTCTTCTGCCCCACTCTTAACCAGCCCTGGCCACTGAAGGAAGGGTAAGCATTTAAGTCTTGTATTTATATTAAGCTGGAAGTTGTAAGTCACAATCTTGACAGTACCCTAAATGACAGCAATTAGTATTTCTCAAAAAGAGTGTTTTTTCTTTCTTCATTGACTGACACATCAATCAACAGAGTGGTGCACAAAATTACAAAATAGGCCTCTAATAAGAAAAGGAAAATCTATTATTCTTGCTTTTTAAATGCCTTAAAGAAGGACTTGCTATTGCTGTAAAATCTCTGGAATTACCCTTGCTCTTTCAACTTGCCAAACCAATCTTTTATCCCTTTATGTTCAGGTCTGTAGAGTAACTTGCCAAAATAATCTCTTGGCATCACTGAGGTGATGATCCACATTGTACTGCTTATGTAATTTCTCTGCTCATACAACCATTCATCCCAGAAAAGTTTTGATGGGGAACTTGTTCTTTTAACTATTTTAGGTGCTTTTTAAAATACTGCCTTCTAGCTTGCAGGAAATGAACATGCTATAATGTGCCGTGACAATGGTGATTGTGGAGAGTGTAAAACATTTAAATATAAATTACAGGTAGAAATGAAGGTGTGTAAGGAAAAATCAAATTATAGGATTTACCTCCCAATTCTTAAGGGCAGAGAGATTTGTCTGGCCCTTTTCTTGGTTGTAGCTGGGCAAGGGAAAGAAATGCTGAGTCTCATATGATCTTAATTATATGCTGTGGGTGCCAGCAACTTTCAGGGTATGTGTGGATTCTTGACTGAGGCTCAGTGTGTGAACTCTGTCAGTAGAGGGGTATGTCACACACAGAGCTGGGATAGGAGCCATCATTCACAATTCAAACAAACCCCAGACCCTTCAGAGATTGAACAGAAATATTCAGTTAACCATAAAAATTGTGTCACGATTCTCCATACACCCATGTCCCTTGGGACCAGAAATACTTCAGGCTGCAAAGTCAGGCCCTTCTTGTGAGGCTTTTTGACTGACTGGAACCATCAGCAATCCAAACCATTGTACAAAATCCCGCTCTTTCGCAATTCCCAACATTTCTTCTAGACAAGGAGCACTGTAATTCTTGGCTATAGGTGCAAGTCCACAATCTCCCTCCAAAACATCCCCCTTGAATTTTTGGGTGTCTTGTCAGAGGGAGACTTTGGACAGGAGAGTCTGGAGGTTCTTGCCTTGCCATGGGCTGAAGCCAACAGCAGAGAAAAGGGGCAAGTGTTAAGCACAGGATGGTGATTTTTTACTGCTGTAGCAAAAGTGCCTGTTCCCTGTCAAGGCTCAACAAGAAAATCTGCTTGAAAGAGATGATGTTGGGAAGATTTCATTTCTGCAAATATCTGGTCGTTGTGTGTTGTGTGTTGGCTGAAGGACTGCAAGACTACCTGCCTGAGTGTAAGCCCCTCAATGGGTTTGTCAACAACCCTGGAGCATGAGAGATGGTGCAGCTGTGTCCACCCTCCCACCAGAGCCTCCTGTGCTGCAGTGGAATTGCAAGCAGGCTGCACCCTCACCCAGGGGACACACCTGAGCTTGGTGTCCTGAACAGAATCTGATTGTAAGGAGCAGGAAAGTGTCCTTCATGTTGCCTCTGGAAGTGAAGTTAGACTGCTTGATGTTCCTACCTGAGCTGTGTCTGGGAGGAGGCAGGCATGTAGAGCTGTTCTTGTGCTCCTCTGGGGTTGCATCCTTAGCAGAAAGCTGGGGGATATTCCTGTGGCCTGCCCTGTGATGGCAAAATTACTGCTAGCATGGTCAGCAGTAAAGTTTTTGCTGCTGTTCAGAAATATGCTGAAGGTTCAGACCAGAATGAAAATCAGTTCTACACTTGGTGGCTCACATTGTGGGTTCTTCGTACTGTCTTCAGGGGGAGAAAGTCTGCTGTGGAAATCCATCCTGTCCTAGCAATTTAGAATTAGAGGGGACATCCTTACTTACCTAAATGAAGAAATGCAAACATATGGAGATAGAGTTTTTACCCCCTTAACCTTTGGAGGTACCAGCAAAGATTTTCATGTTTGTAAATTGTAATTTTCGTAGAGCAAAGCCTTATGGAAAAGCCAAACTTTCTTTAATGAAAGACATGATGGAAACTCTTACAGCTGATCCTTACTATTGCTAGAAAACAGAGGTAGCAAGAGAAGAGTAAAGTAAGCACTAAAGGTCAGGTATGAGCCACAGGAAAAATGCTGTGGCCTCATCAGTTTTCTTTGGCTTCCTGAGGTCTCTCCCTTCCCTTCCAGGCAAGAGAGAGAGTCCTTTCTTCATTGGCTCCTGTGTGAATCTGTCCTCTGATGGCTGAACAAACTCTTCTCAGCAGTAATCAAACATGAGAATGGCAACTTCGCTTGTGAGGATCACATTTGGCCAAACACTGCCATCTTTGTCTGTCCTGCTTGCCCTAACTCTTGACTTGGAGGGGGAGAGTTTAGCATTTCAGTGTATGAAATGCCAGCTAGGATCAAATCAATAGCATCGATTTAATCTTGTGTTTCCAAAGAGTTGGGATTTTTCCTTTTAATTTTTTTTTTCTCTAGCTCTATTCTTTGGGAAGTAGAAGAGTGAAACAAAGGCATTGAGTGCTGCCAGTGGTCCTCAGGGACAGAGCCAGAGCTTCAAAGCCCTCCATGAGTTTGAATAGCTTTACTCTTGCTGGACTAAATTAGCTTTGGATGTAGGAACTTGATCTTCACTTTCAGAGTTGATTTGGTTCACTGTTTGTGAGCCCTAACAGGACAAAATGCCCTTGTTTGGTGGGACCTGCAGCCAGCCCAGGGCCAGATGCCCAGCTGGTGTAGGTGACCTGAAACCTTGAAGACTCGAGCCAGGTAACATTTGCTGACATTTTTCTCTATAGGTTTTTTGACAGATTATAGTCATGCCTGCATGGACTGTTAAAAGCAGTCACCAGTGACTTTTCTGTGGTCAGAGCAAGCTCTCAGCAGAAGCAGAAGAGCCCCTTGCACCTATGGAGAAGGCAGCAAAGCTGGTAAGAGGGGGCTGCACCTCTTGCTGCTCAGCTCCCTGCTTCTCAGGGCAGTATGGACATGTAAATCCTGCCGTGGAACAGTTGTAGTTTACCATGTTAAGGCCTGTGGAGTGGTTATGGGTGTTAAGGTCATGCCAAGGTCTTCCTGTGGACCCATTTGTTCATGAAATATCAGAGGGCAGTGGAGAATAATTCCTAGTGAGGCAAGTAGAGTAAAATATAAATGGAAATATGAAAACTTGATAATTCAAATGAGTTTACTTTTTATACAACAGATGTTGTTTGATCCAGGAGAAAGAATAATATTATAGAATCTGAGGGGAAAAAATAAAGTCATCTAAAAATAAAACACAAATAGCAGCTGCTTGAATTGTATTTCTAATATATCAGTGTTGACAGCTCTCTCTTTCCTCCAGTTGACCCAGGAATCTTATAGAAGTGGCTGGTAAAGAAGAGGAGGAATATGAGCAGAGGTGATGGAGAAGGAAATTGATACTGATTAGTGTCAGAGTGTGTCCTGGGCAGGAATAGTCTGAGTGAGGGAATGTGGATGGTGTCACTGCACAGTCCTTGAGGGACTCAGGGTCAGAGGCTCTCACTGCAGTGTGTGACACTTCTGCACTTGGGAATATCACTGGAACGGGGTACAATAAAGAATACTAAAATAAATAAAGTAGTCCAAAATTATGTTGCTGCTGAATTCCCACTTGGAGTGAGGTTTCTGTGTTTCATTAAATTGGTGTCCTGTGCGTATCTATACCAGATGAGGAGCTGAATTTGCGTAAGGGTGGTGGGTGAGGTCGCTGGGATGTAGATGCAAGGCAAATTTCTTACTCTGTAGACTCAGTCAGTGGGAAAAATACTACTTAGCAAAAAGGAAAAAAGGATCCTGACTTTACATTCCAGGAGCCAGTGGTTTTGGACTGGCAAGCTCTGGCTGTTCAGCCAAGACTATGTGCCCAGGTCTGATTTGCAGCAAGTGATAAACATCTCTTCTTTAACAAGTGATCTCTGACAGGGGCTTGAGTTGAATGCAAAAAAATCAGGCATTTCTTCATTGTTTGTGAGCAGTTGGGCTGGAACTGGCACAGTGAGACTGTGCTTTCCTTCGTGTATGAGGAGCTGTGCCTTGGGCTGTGTGGTACTGGGAGCCTGGGTAGGCACAGTGCAGCTCCCAGTGTCCCATCTGCAGTTCATGCTATAGCAAATAACACATTTTTATTTTTATACAAATGTGCATAACTTCATCCATTTCTTGTGGCTGCTCTGACAGGAAAAGGAAATTTATGACGCACATCACCCATTTATTTGGCACAGGCAGTGTTTATTGCTGAGGGAGGCATTCTCATGGAATTGATTGCACAATTTCCTCTTGGTGTACTGTTTTCAAGTAATATCCCAAGACCTCAGTGTACTAAGATACAGAGGCACTACTTTAAGGCCCAAAGAACACTGTAGCAGAGGAAAAAAATTAAGCCATATAGTGGAAAATAAAATGGAAATATACAATTTTAATTACACTGTAAATCTGTGTCTCTCTCCACTCTGCTGGGAGTGTCTGTGAAAACACCCATTCCCAATAGGTTAAATTTCTAGGTTTCTCTGCAGAACTAAGAACAGATTTGGATTTTATCACTGTTAATTTTCACAGGTGTTAAAGGTGGAGGTTTTGTCCAGGGTTAGTTGTGGTTCACGCTTCAGGCACGCCTGGACTATGGACATGTGGTGGGGAGAGAAATTCTGCACTTTGGAAAAAAAGAATGGTGTATGCTTAGTGTGATGGCTTGCTGAAAGGGTAGGATTGTTGCCTGTCTCAACAGGCAAAAAGGGGTTGATACTATTAACGTCACAAAAAACAGGATGAGAGGGGTTGTTGCCTTGATTCAAAGAACTGTGACAATATATATTTTAAACACTGTGAGTGGCACACATTATAGAAAAACGAGAGAAATATCTGTCCTGAAAGAGGACTCTTGGCTTTGTTTGTTTCTTTTTTTAAATGTAATTTTATTGTTTTTTAAAAAATATTCAATTTTTCCATGCACAATCATTTGTATCATATCTTTGGTATAATAGATGTCTCATTTGCATGTGCAAAGGCATGGAGTTGGATGTTTGCACACAAAAAAGTGCCAGGTGATGACAGTGGTTACTAGCAATCATGGACTGAAGATTGCAACCAGAAAGTTTAGAGCTCTTTTGTTCAAAGATGACTCAAAGTGCAGGGACAGAAGAATGGTGTTATGTAACATCAGTTAGGGACAATAGATTCTGCTCCCTTCCACTCCGTAGGGAATGTCAGTGACAACCCCACACGTGTCTGCATGCTGAAGTTACATGTCTGCTTCTGAAAGAGGTGTCTGATGACTAACTTTTTCTTTCCTGGTTGTTGAATGGCTCCTCACCTGTTTCACTCTTCTATTTTTTTGAAGGGGAGTTTGACAGCCAGCACAGTTTCTAATTTTATGATTTCACTTCTCTGGGGTCTCCCTTAGTTTCTGCTAACTTCACAATTTTTCTTTTAGGCTCCAGATGAAAGCAATCGCCTGATAAGCTTCTGTTTTCACACTTTTGAAGGCAGTTTCCTCATCTCAGCCTGCTGATGCTCGTCCTCAGGGGTCGAAGCTGGGGACCAGCTTGAGCCCCAGGCTTTCCTGTTCTGCAGCTCTCAGGTGTTCAGCTGTGTTATGGGTTGCAGTGGGTGTTTGTTAGCACAGAGGAGGATGGCTCACTGGTAATGGCCTTTTGTATGTGCTGACCTCTGAACCAGAAACAAGATTCAAACCTCAGAGGAAACTGGTTATTAATCAAATCAGGGAGCAACTGTGACTCAACTTTCAGATCCCCAGCTGAGGTTGTGTCCATGGCTGATTAAAAGAGGAAAATATATTTAGCTATTTACAGCTGTATCTCCCTCTGTGAGAGGACAAAGCACCATTGATAAACATATTTATATTTGTTAGATGTGCAAATTGTGATTCCTTTGAAAACCTCACAGTTTATGATAAAGCCTCAGAAAGCACAGGGCTGTTCATTGGCGTTACAGGACTTCCCGGGACTGTGCCATGGACACCTCTGCTTGGAGTGTTTGACACAGGCATGTCCACAGGGGACAGCGCTCAGGCACTGTCATCTGCACATGAAAGACTAACAGTGGCTCTGAGCAGTCCTCTGCAGGAGATAATTTTCTCCCTCAATTAGGTTACACTTTCTAGATGCTGCACTTCAGAAGCCTACACTCTTCCCAACCCAGCTCTACAGTCAGTCAGTGGTGAACAGAACGTACAAACTTTCTATTGCTAATATATTTCACAGTGCTGTGTGATATTAGCAAACTCCAAATAGCTGTCAGGACCTTAAGGTATTCTGGAACATCCTTTGATGTTACAAAGTAATGTGTTTCCCATATTATTCCTTTGAACGCATTAGATGTGCAAAGTCTAGCATTTCTTATGAGAGAGGTGGAATTATCATACAACAAAATATTTTTTCCTCTAGTTCGTTCATGGCTCATAATATATAAAATTTCTTCTTAAAATTCAAGCTAGGAACTGAAACTTAATTTATACAGTATTGAAAACATTACAGGGCATAAATCAGTTCAATTTTTAAAGCTCCTGTATGATATTTTCAGAACATCCAAATTCCTTCATTTGCCTGGACTCCTTCCAAAATTCTGCCAGTGCTCATGGAAATCTAAATAACTTTGGAGAAAAAAGCAGGTTTTCTGTGGAGGCTCAGATTACCCTGTCACCCTTCCTTCACTGCAGACAGGCCTCTGATAAACATGGAGAATAGGGACAGGGAAATTACTTCATTACTTCATGTCTTTTTCAATTACAAACATCAAGGAGTCTGAGCCTCCTGCCAGCTCATGCCCCAGACCCTTGCAAATTTGTGGCTTTCAAAAGCCAACAGTTGCATTTCCTTTGCCAGCAGGGATAAGTGATAGAAAGCGAGCAGGGGAGCTCACTTCAATATTATTTCTGAGTGTTATTTAAAAAGTTTCAAATCTCAGCTCTGTTTATTTAAAGTAGGACTCCAGCTGAAATGCAAGTCTGTGAACCAGAGAAGTGATCAAAACAGGACTGCACCTTCTTTTCTTTTCTGAGAATTAAATTAATTACTCAGTGGTGGGAGTGTTACTGTAATCATTCTGTGATCACTTAACCTGGAAGCAGTACTTCCAGAGAGCTTTTCAACATTCTCCTGTTGGCATCTTCAGATCTACTATTTGTACTGTTTGCCTATTTTCACAGCACATGAGATTAATGCATTGTTTTTCTACCATCTTTGCTTTGTGTTTTGGTTTACACCTAAAGAAACAGATGTATTTTCTTTGATGTAATTTTTCTATTATTGATGAACTAATGTTACAAAACCAAGGCTGTTTAAGATCTTACTTAGAAACCTACAAAAAAACCCCCAAACACCCAGCAACCAACCAAAAAAAAAAAACAAACCAAAAAAAAGAAAACTCAGTTTCAGAACACTGTGTTGCAGAGATGGGGGGAATGTTGCAGGAGTGAATCTGATTTCCTGCTTCTACTTTAGGCATAAATCTTACAGGCTCAGCTTCTCCTCAGTTTTTAGGTCTGTGCTAAAAGTCACTGAAATAGAAGCCTGTGTTGGATTAATCACAGGTGTCTGTGTATAGCTCTGTGTTGGGGGTTGGTGTCCTTCCTTTTGTTCCTTCTCACCTATAGAATTTTGCATTATTTCCATTAGTTGCAGGGAAAACCTGACTGCTGGTGTTTGAGAAGACAGTACGGCTGGGCCCAGGGGGAATGGGGGCAGGTAAAAGGGAGGGTGGGGGCAGTTTTGGCGGGTTTCTTCAGACTCAGAGCAGGACACTTGATGGGAGCTGTTACTGCTGGGGGAAGGGAATTCATCATAACCCAGACCCTTCTTCTTTTTCTCCTTCTGTGGGCTCCCACACCCCCTGTCCTGCCGGGACGTGTGGCAGTGCCAGGCACCGCCACGGAGCTGCTGATCCACCTCAGCCACCGGCCCAGGATCTCAGCTCATCCCTGCTGATCCACCTCAGCCACCGGCCCAGGATCTCAGCTCATCCCTGCTGTTCCAGCTGAGTGTTCCTCAGAGCCCTGCAGGAGCACCGGCACTGACTGCCCGAGGGGTTTGTGAAGCAAAGCCTCTCCTCCATCCCTTCCCATCTCAGCCGAGAAAGCTGTCACGGGGTCCCTGGTTCTGTTTTGTTGTTAACTCTGTAGTTATTGTTGTTTGTTTGCCTTGTTATACATACTAGTAAAGAACTGTTATTCCTATCCCCAGATCTCTGCCTGAGAGCCAGATTTCAAAATTATAATAATTCAGAGGGAGGAAGTCTACATTTTCATTCCAAGGGAAGCTTCTGCCTTCCCTAGCAGACACCTGTCTTCCAAACCAAGACACTCTGGGAGGGTTTTCTGTGGTTATTCTGCCGCTCTGTTTTTTTACAGCCAGATTCTGAAGTGTGGGCTCAGGTCACTTGGTACCTCAACTGGCCAGATGTCTGCACTGCAGTGGCACACGACTCTTGTGATCATTGTTGTGATCAGGAGAGAGGGAAAGGAGACAAGGACCAATGAAAAGGTTGTGGGGTCCTTTGGTGCCTCACAATTCAGATTTTGATTTGATAGGAATTCAAAAATCCAGATGTGAAATGAACTTTAAGTGGGTATGAGTAGAGCAAACAGCTGA